TAGCTATATATCTATTTTATTTATTAAATTTGCACACTGCCCTATATGCACAGGTCTCTGGGCGGTCACAACATAAAAACACAATATAAAAACACAAAATACATAATAAAAATAAAAAACAAGGGCAACACAATAATCCCCCTTCCCTAACACATTTTAAAAGGGGATTAGATGTTAATTAGCCAAAGGTCTGGTTAAAGAGGAAAGGTTTTGCCTGGCACCTATCTCTATCTCTATCATCTTTTCTATATATTTATGACACACACACTTCTCTGAATAATGACTATAAGATCTATATGGCTAACACTACAAACGTACCCCAATTTACCTAGGGGCAAGCCCTGTTGAATTCTATAGGACTTGTAAGCAGACATGATTTGTTGTTGTTTAATTGTTTAGTCGTGTCCGACTCTTCGTGACCCCATGGACCAGAGCACGCCAGGCACTCCTGTCTTCCACTGCCTCCCGCAGTTTGGTCAGACTCATGTTTGTAGCTTCGAGAACACTGTCCAACCATCTCGTCCTCTGTCGTCCCCTTCTCCTTGTGCCCTCCATCTTTCCCAACATCAGGGTCTTTTCCAGGGAGTCTTCTCTTCTCATGAGGTGGCCAAAGTATTGGAGCCTCAGCTTCAGGATTTGTTCTTCCAGTGAATACTCAGGGCTGATTTCCTTAAGAATGGATAGGTTTGATCTTCTTGCAGTCCATGGGACTCTCACCCTGTTAGTTGCTTTCTCCTTAACACCTTTTAACACGTCTCACACATAATCAGTGTGAAGAAAGGTGTTTGACGTCCCTCCTTTCCCCAGTATCAGCTTAGGAGCAAAGTGGGGCCCTTTCTACTCTCCCTTAAGGAGTTTGAGCCCGCTTCATTTCGGGCACAATCCCAGGACATGTGGCAGGCAGACGACTAGGTGTACTATGTATAACGACACTGTAGTTACCACAGCAACAGTCCCAAACCACAGCACAAAGCACTCAAATGCTCACTCACACACCATGGTAACGGTGGTGTGTGAGTGGCTCACCTTCTGCCCTTTGTCCCAATTCCTCCCTGATGACAAGTGCAGCCAATGCAGACACTTTTTTTTAATCAATTTTTTTAAATTGATTTTCCAAATTTTTAACAAACATAAAAGAAAACATTACACTATTAAAAAGACAAACAAACAAACAAACAAACATGTATCCTGTTAAAGTCTCAATTTAGTTATCATTGTTAGGTGACTTCCTCGGATCCCCCCAAACTGAGCTTCCATAGATCACATTGTAGCAGTTTTCCAATATCCACTTTCAAATAAATTTAACTTACTCGAATTACTATCTTACTTTCTTTTCATAATGTTTTAAATCCATAATGTTATACAATTCCACATATTTTACTCCTAGGCCAGTTTGGTACTTACAAGTAATTCTACTTATATTAGAATATCTAGCTAAATAGTCCTTACATTTCTTCCAATCTTCTTGATGTCCCTCCTCTTTCTGATCGCGGATTCTTCCAGTCAGGTCGGCCAGCTCCAAAAAGAATGCAGACACATTTCTGGGGCAATGGCTAACCCTGTGCACAATTCTGACATACACACAGACTCCAGGAAACATCCCTTGTCTACCAGGAGGAAGATCTGCCTCTCACACAATATTGGCCCCTATGAAAACAAGAGCCGTAGCCAGGGGGAAATGTACCCTATGGAAATATTCATGGAAAACGCATAAAGAGCTCCAAACTCTCAGCAGAATTTCCTTGTGTGCAGTTGTTTAAATTGTAAGCTAAGTTGTGTCAGGGCACAGAATTAGAGAACAAGGTGCTCCTGGGCACACGCAGTACCAGAACCAGAACTGAATGGAGGTCATGGTCCTTTTGCACAAAAGTCCTGGTTATAGGGCTGGCTGAAGATATTTTGCTACCTCAGGCAAAGAACAAAATGGCGTCTGCAGCACCCAACTCCACCTTCAGAAGCCTAACGTACTGACTGATCGTTGAGTTTTATTCCAACGCTGGTGACTGGACAATACCCTTCTTCTGTAGACTGAAATAAATAATATGTCACGGACATATAGGTACAACTACAGTATTTTTCAGATGTATGCAGTTTCACAGTTTGTTGCTGTGATTAATAAAAAGCAAGTTCATTTAAAATTGCCACTGAGCTCGTAATGGGTTCCCCCTCCCTTCTGTATTTTCTCAGTTAACAGAGCCTAAAATTGCAACAATTAGCATGTGGGAGTCTGCAAAAACATTTGTGTTTAAAAAGGTTTCCTTGTACTTGTAAAGATTGGAAACCACTGCTTTAAAAGTAAAAATTAGGAGATGTAAAAGTAAAGAGCAGCACCTCAGATTACTTCAGAAAGAAGTGTTCCTCAGCTAACAGATATTTGGGAAATAGTGGATTAATCGTTGTTTACTAAGAGGGCAGTTCAAATTGCTTCCATGGCCAAATTTTTAAATAGCAAACAACCTGAAGAACTTGTCCCTACCTTTCTACAGGCATTAAGACTACTGTAGAATTCCCCACAACTCAGACAGCAGTGCCCTTCCCAAATCATGACAATAGAGTTTTTGCTATGTTTCTTGCTGCGATGAAATTCAGAACACTGATAAAATCTTCTGTATGAGAATTAATTGACTGAAGAAAGCCGGGTTTGGTTGGTGTTTCTTACATAACTGTTCACGGTATAGCATCTCCCTTGGATATTGAGCTGTTTGTCGTACAACTGGAAGGTGCAACACAGTGTTATGGGCTCAGCCAACCTTTTCTAGATATTGCTTTCCATTCTACTACCTCACTTCCTCCCACAACAGCCCATCAGCATACCATGGTCACTCAGCATGCTCAGTCCTCATTGGACTGCTTTTGAAGTTCACTCCTCACTTAGGATGGGTGAAGGTTGTTGTTTTTTGCAGGGTTTTTTGTGGTAATTTTAGAAACCTTTGAACTTTCCCAAGTTTGTTGGTATCTCTTGTTCTTGGGTGCAGCCATTTTAGCTACATAAACATCCACACAATGAGTTCGCTATTAGAATATAGAGTATATATTCAGGACACAAGTCAGTGTTTTAAGCCCAAATACCAGCCCAGCCTTCCACACCTCCTTTCACAGGTCAGGAAAATGTGTACGGTGCACACAGAGATGTCCCTTGTAAAGAGAGCATCGTGCCATTTACCACAGATTTCTCCATTTGGAATTGAGCACCCTGATTCCATATACAAGAAGAGAAGGGAGAAAATGCAAAATGTTATATAAGGTTCAATCTTACAATGAAGGCTCTGGAATATTATGATTTACTACTAGTAGAAAACTGGCAGATACTACGGGGAGAAGATACCTCAGCAAAACAGTGTGTGCCTTCTAACACCTACCAAAGCCTGGACAAAGGGACTTTGGTTTGTTCGCCTCCACCCCAACTCCCCAGCTCTTCTCTAATGTGGTATGGGCTTGATGCTAGCGAGAAAGGGTTCGTTTGGCAGCCAGTCAGTACTGCTCAACTGTCTCCCAACTGGATTGACTCTGACCCCTGTCCAAGCCATTTGAGTCTGAGCTGTGTGATGTGGCTTGTCAGATCAAACTAGGTTAGCGTTTCTGGAAGCTTATTTGGAGCGGGGAACAAGCGGGGGGGGGGGGCTTAATCCAGCAAAAGGAACGTGGGCCAGGGGGTGGGGGAGAAAAGCAACCAAAATGGAATCCTCAAAAACAGCAATAGATTGGGGAAGAGAGTGTATCTGTGGGGTGTGGGTGTGTCTTTCTTTCCCTCTCCCTTTGGGGAGCATGGATGGGGGGATAGGGAACATAATCTTCTAGAAGGCTGAAAGCAGAGGTGCAGAATTTGCATGGAAGCATGGAAGGCAGAGTCACACACACAAAAGAGGGAAACTGGACAACATCATACAGGGCATGTCTGACTCAAGCAAATGTTTATTCTTTATCAGTTACATAAACGAGATGCCAGAATCAGAGGGCCCTTCTCCACATTCCCCCTGTGGAGTTGCTTCTTTTAGTAGCTTTACAGAGTACAACATACATTTAAAACACACAGCTTCCCACAAAGAGTACTGGGAGGGGTGAACTTCAGTTCCAAGGATTCTTTAGAGGAAGTTATGAACTTTGAATGTACAATGGGTGCACAGCCCTTGTCAGGGCATGCAAATGTCCCCCTCTAAGACCTACTAGCAGGAAGGGAGGAAGAAACAACATCTCTTGCAGAGTAAGTGAGAAGATCTATCCAGATCTAAGATGCAGAAAACTCGGTCAGAAACACAGAGAATGTGCTCAGCTGCAGACAAGTAACCATGATCCTTACACTTACATGATTCTACAACAAAATCTTTTCGGGTACAAGAATGCATCTCCCATTTAACTGAAGACTGGAAGTATGTCTCAGTTATCAGAAATCTAAGAAGAGCTGGGTTCTTAGATCCGCTTGCAAAGTTGCAAAGAAATGTGCAGGGCTTACTTGACTACATATCAAGCAGTCTACATTGACTGTTTCCTATTGTCACAGTGAAGAAGTGCTGGGGAATGAAATGTTCCCTGATGCCAATCAATTGCTCCCCTTTTTTGTTTCTTTCTTAGTGAAAACCAATCAGCAGCTGCTCCGGTGTATTTTCAAAACAAAGCCATCGTAGAAAGGAAGGAGTTCTTCACCCTTCTTTGTTTGAGCCAATTAGGGATCAAGTAATTAGAAGTATGATATCATAATGTCGTCACATAATCAGACAGCTTTGTGATGGCATCATGATGTCAGTTCAATTAAGTGAGGGAAATCCTCGCTGCACTTGCTCTGAATAGGTAAACACTTACCGTAATCCTCTGTTGATAGCTCCCCCTAGAATATTCAAAGCTACAAAAACTTATGGAAAAGTACTCCTTCATTCCTGCTCAGCATTAATATGAAAGCTTAACAGCCAGTACAACATGCCAGTTCAGATGCAACAATCCTAGGATGCGAAACAAGCCACGAATGAGTGGCAGGCCCATTCTAACCCAAAATATCATCCATTTGAACACTGGTTTCAGCTGTTCAGTCACACAGTGTTCTCCATGATATCTAAGTCAGGAAATGCTAGTTTAATGTCAGTTACTTAACCAGGATCTCAGTCACATTTGTTTCTCATTTAAGATCATGAACTGTAAATGGACATTAGAGCTCCCATTTTGCACGTAACAGGGAACTCTAGTTTTAAAAATATCAGGACTGAAATGCCAAAGCTGGAACAAGAAATGAGAAGGCAAGAAGAAGGTCAAGGGAAGAATTAGGGATATAGGAGAAATTTGATTTCATGAACCTACCTAATTCACTCTTCCTGAAATTATACATGAACTGAATTGTACCTGTCCTTTGAAGAATTCACACTTCTCCAAAAGTTGTGAAGTTTTGCAAACCCATAACTGTATGGAAAAATGCATGTATTGTATGAGATCAAAGAGTACATAAAGTGCACGTAATGGTGAATACAGAATTCAAATGCATTATTATATATTTTTTTGTTTGCAAAACAGTGTATATTGGGAAAGATGTGCGCTAACATCCCGGTGATTTTTGTGTGTGTGTTTGATTACTTTTTCCTGTAAAAATAAATAAATCTCAAACTGATGCAGAAAATAGGTTAACCAAATTTAAGGACTGGGAAATGAGAGATAAAGGGGAAACCAACACAGATAGATGAGTAGGGATTGTTATGTTTTCTTTTCACCATGATCTTCTTTTAAAATTACTGGGAACTGCCATGTCATTTGTGTTTTTACAGGTGTAAAAATTCCTAGCCTCATCAGAGCCCTGGATATTATGTGTGCAGTAATGGCTATAAAAATAGGGAAAATAGGGATGCTGGGGAACAGGCATCCTCGTCCTGCAGGGCCTGCAGATACAGAAGCACATCTACAAGATACCCAGTAAATGCCCAACCAGTCATTGTGCTCTGCAGGGATCCTGCAGATACCATCTTACCAGAAGGGCAATTCCATCCCTTTGGAACTCCCTCCATCATTAGACAGGCACCACCTCTATTGTCTTTTTGGCGTCTGTTGAACGTTTCCTTTTTCTGTAAACCTTTTAAGTGAAGATCTTTATTAGGACTGTGCGCAGCCCCCCAATCTGATCTGGGCTCTGATCTGGTGCTTCAGAGCAACCACTATCCGGCATGGGATGATCTTGTTGTTGTTGTTTAGTCGTTTAGTCGTGTCTGACTCTTCGTGACCCCATGGACCAGAGCACGCCAGGCACTCCTGTCTTCCACTGCCTCCCCTAGTTAGGTCAAACTCATGCTGGTAGCTTCAAGAACACTGTCCAACCATCTTGTCCTCTGTCGTCCCCTTCTCCTTGTGCCCTCCATCTTTCCCAACATCAGGGTCTTTTCCAGGGAGTCTTCTCTTCACATGAGGTGGTCAAAGTATTGGAGCCTCAGCTTCAGGATCTGTCCTTCCAGTGAGCACTCAGGGCTGATTTCCTTCAGAATGGATAGATTTGATCTTCTTGCAGTCCATGGGACTCTCAAGAGTCTCCTCCAGCACCATAATTCAAAAGCATCAATTCTTTGGCGATCAGCCTTCTTTATGGTCCAGCTCTCACTTCCATACATCACTACTGGGAAAACCATAGCTTTAACTATACGGACCTGGGATGATCTAGGGCCAACTCAATGCAGATTGGCTCTGAACCAAATTGGGGGCCTTGCATAGTGATTAATTAGGGTTTTAACCCCCCCACCCCACCAACCACATGTGTTGGTGGGGATGCAGGCAGCCTGTATCTCTTCCTACTCCTTACCAGCTGATCACCCCTTTTGACAGCCTTGGATCACTCCGGGTGAACCCCATCTGGCCCAGGGCGATGCTACAGCTGCCTTTACCACACTCCATCTGAATCTTGCGTTGACTCAGATTTGGTCAGAGTGGTTGCATGGGTCTGACCTTTTATCCCAGTCTTTGGATTTGAAATAGTGCTGATACGTGACATGGCTTTGAGGGATTTTATGGGAAGCAATTCGTAAATGGAATATAAATAAATAATATAAATAAATAAATGGCATTCGGCCTCAGTATCTTGATGTTGATCCAGAAATCACTTGAAACACATGTCTCTAGATACAAAAGTTTCAATTAAAAAAATAAAATCCCAGGCTAATAAATAAGAAGGACAATTTCTTCTCAAAAAGCCAGATTCCTATCTACAGGACACTGGGGATCTAGCAAAGAATTGCCTACTGTTTGCCCTCAAAGTTCTTGATTGGTTTCTCCTTCATTCAATGTATGATTCAAGGACAGAAAGGCTTGTGGATGCCCCATATTCATTTTACCAGTGTTTTCTCATAGAATTCATTAAGTAGGAAATGTCTTAGGAGTCAAATAAGTCCAAGGTGCCATAAGATAAATGTTAATCATATAATATTAGTGCATAGAAAAAGCCTTCTGATGGAAACCATATATCTTTTTCCTCTCGGAGCTATTTTAAGTGTTACCCCTAGAAACACAATTGTGTTTGGCATCTAAGCTGGGCAGAGGGAGGTGAGGAGTGAAGGTCTGAAGCTGGTCCCTTGCCACTGGAACAGATGGGCACAACAGGCCGGTAGCCAAAAGATCCTATATGTGCAATAAGTGTGAAAGTTTAGGGCACAGTTCCCAGCTTGCACTGCCATATGGCTTTTGCAGCCTCGATTGTCATTGCCTTCACTTAAGGGGGACCTCACTGGACTAAAAATACTTATCAAACACAACCAGTGACTTAAAAAAATAAGGGAGGAAACTAGTCATGAAATAATCAATGGGGAAACAGAATTAGGTAAGAAGTGGAAGGAGAAAGTGTGTGTTTGTGTGTTCAGCGAGGCTGGATCAGCCCCCCGACTCCAGCATCCCATTCTTGCAAGGGCTAACAACTTCAAGATATTGCATTATGGGGGGAAATAATGAACAGCAGTTTGTATCCAACATTGTACAAGAGGACTTTCCTCTCCCCACCAAACAAAACAAAACAAAACAAAATCCAGTATGCAGGCCAGATGTAAAGTTTTACTGTTTGTGTAAAATAAAAATAACGACAACAACAACAACAACAACAAACAATAAACATAGATATCTGTAAGAGTGCTTTCCTTGCTATCTACTTGCCTCTTCACAGCCTCTTCACTACACTCATCTCCTTGAGGTCATAAATGCACTGGAGGTTCTTTCCATGCCCTTCTGGCCTAGGAACCTAAAGATACATAATCACGATAATGATGTTGTTGCTGATGATGATAATACCCCGTCCATCTGACTGGGTTGCCACTCTGGGCAGCTTCCAGCATCTATAAAAACATAAAAAAACATAAAAAACTTCCCTATACAGAGCTGTCTTCAGATGTCTTCTAAAGGTTATAAAGTTGCTTATCTCCTTGACATCTGATGGGGTGGGGGGCATTCCACAGGGCAGGCGCCACTACCAAGAAGCCCCTCTGCCTGGTTCCCTGTTGCCCACTTCTGCCTGGATTCCTGTAACCTCACTTCTCTGCCAGAAGGCCCTCAAAGCTAGATCTCAGTGTCTGGGCTGAACAAATACGGTATATTATTCTACAATATATTGACTGATTTTCCCTAAAGAAGACCAGCTTACTTATGCTATCTGGCAGACTGTCCTATAAATGCAAGGAGAAGGAATAAGAAAACAAAATAACCATAAAAAGCGAAAGCAAACCCAATACAGGTGCACTGGTGTTGGTGGGGTAATTCTAGTTCCTATCCACTAGAACCTGGATGGAGATACACTGGTGCTTCATGTGTTGGACTATCCACTCCCATCATTCCTGACAATTGGCTTTGCCAGCTCAGGCCAATGGGCCCAACATCCACAACAGGCATAGGCAAACTCAGCCCTCCAGTTTTTTTTGGACTACAACTCCCATCATCCCTAGCTAACAGGACCAGTGGTCAGAGATGATGGGAATTGTAGTCCCAAAACATCTGGAGGGCCGAGTTTGCCTATGCCTGATCTAGAGGGCCACAGATTCCCAGTCCCACGTTTAGACAAAATCCTCCTTAAGGGCAACAATGGGAAGAAGGAAACTGCTTCCCAAGTATTTGTGCGGTGTCAACACAACTTTCAAAATAACATTTAAAGAGGTTGCAGAGGGAGCTTAGAGGCCATCTCAAAATATGTCAGGCAAATACACTGACTCTCCCCGCCCCCACCTCCTGGGCCTGTTAGAGGTTTAACTCCTCTTTCCCCTCACTTCCATAATTTTCACAGAACAATGTTCTGTGCTTGGCCACCATTCACTCAAAGTTCGGCACTTCTAAGTCCCACTGACAATGAAAGGGTTAACCGTGTGTTTTAATTGGACCTAAAAATGCTGAACTTTGGCTGGGTTTCACCCTTTGTTTTCTTACACGAGGATAAGCTATATGCAACTAATTGGCTTTTAAAGTTAACACGACTCCTTCTGGTTTGCACCACAGCGAGTTTTGTTTAATGTGAATTGAAGAGAATATTGGAATCATTCAAATATATCAGAGTTTGAAATTAATGGATTTGTAACAGCATAAAGCAGGGTTTCGATTTTTTTTTTAAAAAAAAACCCCACACAACCAAAGGCTATATGACAGCAAGAATGGTATGTAGGCAGTCAGATTGGTGCTTTCTACTATCTACCGACAATAAAATAATTGATGTATAAGCAGAAAGACTACGTGGGCCGTGTAATTAAGCAGCAGAGTACAAAATGACTTTTCAGCAAAATACCACTTCTTCATGAAGCAAAGTTCTTCTTGAGCTCTGGTTTCCCATGTCAAGTTGCTGCCCAAAACTGTGGCCTCGAACCATGGGGGGGAAAGGACTTGATTCCTATTGAAATCAATGGGATTCCTATTATCTCAACCAACTTTTAATTGCCCCATGAATTCAGTGGGGACTGAGTGTGATTTTTCTCTGGATTGCTACCAACGGGCATAATGCCTTCAAAGGTAGAGGCTCAACTGCAATCCTTTTTGTGCAGGGGGTAGCATGTGGGTGGGTTTCTGGAATGTCGAAGGATGAATGTCTCTCTCCCTCTCCACCCCCATTTTCTGACGTCATTTGCCACAAAACAGGGTGGAGCCAATCTGATGCTCCTGCAATGACATGTTGCACAGTGCCATGCTCCCCACATCTCCCTCTCCCTCTTGGTAAATGCTAGCACACTGCTGTGTTGGGAAGCCAGGAGAGCAATGTTGCCCCAGCTGCTCTACCTAGGGGCATAGCATGGGTTGCTGGTGCCTGGGACCAAGCAAGTGTTGCGCCCCACTGGTGGACTGGGTAGCAGTCAGTCCCTTCGCCAACCAGCATCTAATCAAGGGAGTCTCTCCTTGTAAACTAGCCCCAACCTAGAAGCATATATAAGTTAGAGAATCACGAAGCCAGGAGCGCTGCTGTGTCGCCTCACCATCCTGTCCTTGTAGTGTGGCCCTCTGGGCAATACATGTGGCCCTAAAAGTGCTTACCTGCCTTCCCCTCTCTCCCTCTCTCATTGGTGGGAGGCAGCTGCGGCACCTGTTGGGAGATTCCATTCCACCTTTTGTTGCAGATATGTGGGATTGTTACATGCCACATGTCTGTTTACATTCCAGGACAGACTGCTGGGTCCCATGAGCAGAACTTCCGCTCTGTGTATTGCTCCGAGAAGATGGCAAGGAGAGACGACATGTTTCTTTGTCCTGATTTATGTAAAATAAATCCGTAGTTTTAGTATGTATCCACAGCCTCAAGCCGCTTCTGTTGTGCAGTTTACTCTGCTAAGTAAAGTGTGCTCAAGTCAGCAGGCTTGAGTCGCTGATTTACGTCAGAGCCAGAGGTCAATGAATCTCCGCAGCGCGAAGGCTGAGAGGGAGGCGATCCAGCTGGCCTATTGACCCCCAGAAGCAGACAGCACCCTCCCTACCTCTCAGCCAGCCCAAGGGTGGGGTGTGCTCGAATGTCCCTTCACCAACCACAAGGAGGAGGAGGTGGCCCTGCTGCCCCAGCCCCGAAGGCCCAGCCCAGGCATGGCTTGCCTCCCCAAGGCTCTGGCCTTGATGAGGAAATCTGTCGTGGGGGCAGAAATTTGCTCCCGGGGCCATGCTCACCCTAGCCTCCATGCTACACCACTGGCTCCACCTCACTGCTTGCCACCAAAACTGCTAGTTGCCAATGTGTGTTTTGACTTTTTCGTGGCAGCCACATTAATTAGCTGTACTAGCTAACAGTTAAGGTTAGCAAACAGTTTACAGATTCAGGTAGGTAGCTGTGTTGGTCTGATGCAGTCGAAATAAATAAAAAATTGTTCAGTAGCATCTTAGGAACCAACTAAGTTTGTTGTATCTTAAGAAGTGTGCATACACACGAAAGCTTATAGTCAGAACAAACTTAGTTGGTCTCTAAGGTGCCACTGGACAGTTTTTAATTTAAACAGTTTACAGCCACCCATCCTTCAACATTGTTATTGTTGTTGTTGTTGTTAACCCATTTTTCATCCTTAGGTCCTAGAATAGGTTGCAACCATTTAAAATACAGCATTAAAATAACTTAAAACAACTTACAATCACAAAAAGGGGAGGCTCAAAATGGGGGAAAAAATGAAGCTGAGGCCAGTGGAACCCTCAAATAATTTCTGGTGGTAGCATTTTGATATGGTTCCCCTCCCCATCAAACAAAAGGCCAAACATAAAGATTATCTGTTGCTTTTGATTGGGGGGGAACGACTATTTTGAAAGGATGAGACACTAATTGCCTTTCAACACTGTGTGCTGAGCAGAGTTTTGATCGCTGTCTGCAAAATCGTGAGCTGAAAATGTATTTTTTTAAAAGGAGTAAAAGCACAGCGAAACTTTTATGAATCTAATTCCAGGCGTTTGTGTTTGGAGCTTTGAGTCTTTTATTGTAGCTCTCTTCCCTCTTGTACTCTGAGATGAAGGAAAACATAATAGGTGCTTTCTTCAGAAAATAGATAACAATCTTCAAATGTTCCCTCTTAAAGATGGATTAATGAATGGATGCTTGTTTTAATCCCTCTTACATTTCATTCAAGTATGCTGCTTTGTTTTTTTAAAAATAAAATAAAAACTACTGTAAACAGGGAAGCCAGGAATGGGGGTTAGGCATGACTCTGCACCCACTTGCAATTAATTGAGCAATTACTGCACTATAGGTCTGTTTCCACTTTGCATATATGTAGCAAGTCAGCAAGTGTTTTATGGGGTGTTCAGGTTTCATACAGGCAGAATGTTTCACTCTCGAGCTAAAGTAAACTGTGGCTTATTCATCAGTGGCCAAACTGCTAGCATAGGTCTTCAGCCTGAGCTAAGTTCATGATCAAAGCCCATTGTTTCCAAGAATATGGTCTCTCATTGCAGCTTCAGGGCCCTTTCCAGTATCGACTTCCATAAAGGGAAATGGAGGACCATAATAACATAAGAAAACTCCTGGTCTCACAGTGGCCAGCCAGGTGATGGTGAAAAAAGTCTGCAAACTGCACCTAAGCACAAGAGCCAGCAACAAACATTCAGCAGCATACTGCCATAATTTGACCCTGCAGATAGAATCAAATGCTGCCTTTAAATTTATGAAGGCAGTAAACCGTTTCCCTTGCAAGTGTCTTGTAGGCAGGAAAGGACTAGAGAGTGATCAAGGGTGCAATGATTCTCTCAAAATGCCACATGAGAATCTGTAAGTATATTCTCAGAACCCAAGAAACAATATAAAATAAAAATAATAAAAATAATAATAATTTATTATTTATACCCTGCCCATCTGGCTGAGTTTCCCCAGCCACTCTGGGTGGCTCCCAATCAAGTGTTAAAAACAATACAGCATTAAATATTAAAAACTTATCTAAACAGGGCTGCCTTCAGATGTCTTTTAAAAATAGGATAGCTGCTTATTTCTTTGACATCTGATGGGAGGGCGTTCCACAGGGCGGGCGCCACTACCGATAAGGCTCTTTGTCTGGTTCCCTGTAGCCTCACTTCTCGCAATTAGGGAACCGCCAGAAAGCCCTCAGTGCTTGATCTCCATGTCCGGGCTGAACGATGGGGGTGGAGACGCACCTTCAGGTAAACAAGACCGAGAAACAAAGATATCTATTGTTGAAGAACTGAATATACAACTTCCCCACAACTGATACCAGGCTAATACATCTATAGTTTCCTGGTTCACCAGCCTGACCTTTTCTAAAAAATGGTACAAGATGGGATCGTACCAGAATTATTTATTGTAGTAAGAAAGGGTAGCCAACAATGAGGCTACCAGTGTTGTTTTATTTTTGTAAGCTCTGTGGGGACATAATCGCTGGAGTCTAAATTAT